ATGCACAAAAACAAGACAGCAAAATCAAGCAACAATATACAACAAAACAACAACAACAAACCAATGACACAAAAACAAAACAAGAAAGAAAAGCTTGTAGTTAGTTCAGGGATCGTTTGTTGGCTTTTAGGAGTGTTTTCCAGTCCAGTATGTTGGGGCACCACGCCCTGGCCCCAAAGTCCACCTTCAGCATTCCCCGGGGACCTCGCCACTCCATTTCCTTGCTGTTCTGTTGCACTCCCTTAGTGTTTTGCCTCGGTGTGGTGGGATCAGATCGGTGCAATTCCCACAGTTTCCGGTGCTGTTCCCCGCAGGGCCATGGGTCAGTGAGGGGTGTCATACCTCATAGTGGGGCCGGCCATGTGGTCCTCTCTGTGGACTGGCTCCTCTAATTGGGAACATCGTCCTCACGGCCTGGTGTGCCAGGATGCAGCACAGGGCATTAATATAGGAAATTGATGGTATGGCTGTTAGAGAACCCCCCTCCCCCCAAAAGGGACAATGAATAATAATCACAAAGAGCAGCTACCACCTGTAGGTCTGGGAGACCAGACGGAGAAGACTGAGGAACTTGGAGAAGTGGAGCTGAGGCCTCTGAGATTCGGGTGGTTCTGGCACCCCGTTTGCCTATTGGGTGACCCAGTTTCCCATGCCGGAGAACCATTTTCCATTGTTATGCCCCCTAGTGGAATCAGGCAGTACACTTTGAAGGATTTATCTGAATACAGTGGAAAATGGGGTTCAGGGGAACAGGGTTAGTAAAAGCCAAGCAGTTAAGGAGAATTGGAAAGAATTGTGTTAGCAGAGGCTGGTGAGAGCATGAGCTTTGAATAGCGGCTGCTCAGAATTCAGCCCCTCTCAGAACTTGTCAGGCACAGAGCAGCCGTTAGACATTGGCAGATCCCAAGCCGAGGGCAGAGGCTCAGGGATTGTATTGCCCTCTTGCGTTCAGCACAGAGAATGGTGTCTAGTGACTGCCGGAAGGCGCACAGGTAACTGCAAACAGTGTATCGAAAAGGAATCCTCCTGGCATAATGAGTTATGTATTGGGCTGCTTACCAACTGCAAAGTCAGCAGTTTGAAATTCCTAAAAGATTAGGCTTTCAACTCTCCTAAAGAGTTACATAGTCTTGAAAACCCACAAGGGGCAGTTCTACCCTGTTTTGTAGTCTGAGTCGGAATTGACTTGACAGCACTGAGTTTTATCTAAGCTGCAGATACGGTAAACCAGTAAAACCTCAGCCAGTTAGTCACCATAACATGACGCTTTCAGCCATTATTTCGTATCCCTTCTCATTTACTTGAGAAGCTATCTTTGGCCTGTATTATGGATTTCAGTACATGAGAAAAGTTACACTCATTTTAATACCAGTTGACGTGTTCTTCCTGCTTCAGTGTAACAAAATGGACTACCCAGATATACTGTAGCAGATTTCCATCTTCTGTTGAGTTACAAAGCATGGGCCAGATAAAATAGGATTCTGTTGATAGATAGAATTCCCATATAATCAGGTTGTCTAATTTGGGGGTGAAGTGGGGTGTGTGTGCTGGTTTTTGCTTGTTTGAACTAGTAGAGTAGGGCAAAATAGAATATTGATGGTGGAATTGGGAAAAGTTTAAATCGTGAGAATACTAGTATAAAAAGATTTATAGTTCATAATTTATATTAACCTCCCATTGTTATAAAAATATGTGCAACACGTTTGTCAATTTAAAGATGCTTTCTCTTTTGAATTTCAGGTAGTTGCCTGTGAACTTGACCCCAGGCTAGTAGCTGAGCTTCACAAAAGAGTGCAGGGCACGTGAGTATGCATCACAGAGTCAATGTGCATTTCAATCTCTTCAAACAATGTTCTTTGGTAATTTCTTGTTATTCCCAGTCCCATGGCCAGCAAACTTCAAGTCCTGGTGGGTGATGTGTTGAAAGCAGACTTGCCGTTCTTTGATGCCTGTGTGGCAAATTTGCCTTATCAGGTAGGTATGTCCTCGTGTTGTTAGGAACACCATTCTTTAATGTTTTCTCTGGCATGCCTTTCTCAGGAAAGAACTAGTTCATTCTCTAATTCTCTTACAGATATCGTCTCCTTTTGTCTTCAAGCTGTTGCTGCACAGGCCTTTCTTTAGGTATGTGACACAAGACCAGTTACTGCAAGATCTCAGAAAGATGAACAGTTCGGGCTATCTAGCCCATCAGTTTGTCTCCCTCTCTCTCCCCTTCTTCCTTTTCCCTGACAGAATCACTTGGGGGAGGTGGTGTCTGAGCGCCATACCAGAAGCCAGACACTCTGCATTTATTTGTTGGTCAGGCCTTCTTATTATCTTCGTCTAGACAGTTGCAGTGGCCCTGGTGGTATATAGTGGGTTATGCACTGGGCTGCTAACCTAACCTCAAGATCAGCCTTGGAAACCCACATGGGCAGTTCCGCCCTGTCCTGCAGGGTCACTATGGGTCAGACTGGACTTGATGGTGGTGATTGCATAGTCTATACCAGGAGCTTCCAACTGCCAGTCCACACCGCCTTGTTCTGGTGGTTGGTTGTCACTGAGTCACTTCAGACCAGAGTAAGAGCTGTCCAGGCTGTGACCCTTTAGAAACACATGTATTTCAAAGCATCTTTGGGTAAGTTCACACTGTCAACCTTGTGACTCGTAGTTGTGCTTAATCTATTGTGCTCCTTAGGGACTAAAAAGCTCCTTCTAGTCCCCCAATCACTTTGAGTCATTTTAAAAAGTTACACAATTAATCAGAGGGCTGTGCACATTGTCCATGTGATTGTTTCATAAAATGTTGGTTTCCATTCTGTGAATGCATTTATACACAGGTTTTGGTGATTGAATTGCAGTGTCACATATATCTTGAACTGTGGCTCGTTGTCTATAAACATTTGGAAAATCTAAAGTTCTGCTTTGAAAATTCTCTGTTCAGGAGTCTTCAGAAAGCCTCCCCAATTGCCTACTAAATACATATCCACCAACCTTAATCTGCTAAGTCAGGAGGCCACTGAATGGCAGCGCCTGCATCTCTAGCTTTAGCCCTTCTGTGAGGAAGTTTTTGTGTGTGTCCCCGGGGGGTGTGATTTTGCCGCTGAATTCATATTGTTTGCTTTGGTTTTGTTTCCCCAGAAGTGCTCATCTGACCATTGAAGTCTTGCGTTTGCTGGCTTCCTTTGGGTTAGGACTGCAGTTATTGCAAAAACACAGCCAGCTGACTCACTTTGTGCTTAGGCGAGCCAGGGCTGACAGTGCGCTGCATTCTAACCTACTGAATGAATTACCATTAACCACAGAGAATTGCTTTGATCTGTTTTTCTCCCACAAAAATTCTTTGATGTTAAAATACATTTCTAGTTGGCAGTGACCATCTTCCTTTTTTGAAATAGATGTGCGATACTCATGTTTCAAAGGGAATTTGCGCTCCGGCTGGTTGCAAAACCTGGAGATAAGCTGTACTGCAGACTGTCCATCAATACACAGCTGTTAGCACGGGTAGACCATCTAATGAAAGTAAGTGTTTTCTTTACTGTTGAAGTAATCAAGTTTAACCCATCCTTCACCATCTTGCCATACTTTTGAGAAAGCATGCAATTTAAAGACTACTCAAACATTTTTTAAATTTATAGGTTGGGAAAAACAACTTCAGACCACCACCCAAGGTAGAATCTAGTGTCGTAAGGATAGAACCTAAGAATCCGCCACCGCCTATCAATTTTCAGGTGAGGTTAAAGTCTCAGGTCATTCAGTATATTAGAAACTAGAGAATGCGTACCTACAGCAGAAAACTACTGAAACAACCCAAATTTTCAAAAATAATGTGGTATGTAGAATAACTGGAAGGTAGTCTTGTCCTAAAGACTGTAAAACAAAATGCTTGCAATGAGCAAACACTAGAATGTAATTGCATTTTGCCCCAAAATAGGGACAATATTAATCTATTTGAATATTACTTTTGGAATACAAAATAAAACAAAAGTAGTATGTTAATGTTGTAGGTAATATTTTCAAATAAAAACATTTTTTGTTGTTCATACAGACTATAAAAAAAGGCAGGTCCCATGATGTAAATAAAACCTTAGTCCAACAATTTAAGTTAAAAACATAACAGGTGGTAAGTGAGTGGCGTTGGTAAGTGCATAGGCTGTGCCTTCAATCACGTCTGCTTTGAATCACGTTGATTTTGAAAACTAAGCCGAAGCCATTGCCATCAAAGCAGTCCTCTTAGTGACGCTGTAGGGCGAGAACTGCCCATTTCCAAAGCGGCAATCTTTACTGAAGCAGGCTGCCACATCGTTCTCCCATGGAGTAGCTGGGGGGCTTAACCTGCTGGCCTTTTGGCCAGCCACTACCACTTTAACCATGATGCTACCAGTTTTTTCTGAAAATGCTACTTAGGTTTAAATAAATGTCATCTTGTGTTTTGCTGAGATGTGGAAATTTAAAAAAAAAAAGAAATACATACATATACTTATTACAGTTAAGTATACCACTTAAGTGTATATCTTAGATGTGCACAGCTGTGCCAGCCAGATCAAGAGAGAAAACATTTTAATCACTGAGTCTAGAAGGTTCTTTTTGTGTTTTATATATTGAAAGGCACCATAATACCTAGCATGTAGCAGTGTTATATTTTGTAAGAAGAGACCCATCATCTGTTTCAGGAATGGGATGGGCTTGTAAGAATCACCTTCGTTAGGAAAAACAAGACCCTGTCTGCTGCATTTAAGTACGTATTTCCTTATGTATAAGGTATGACTAATCACTACTCCAGAAACGGCTAAGTGCTAGAATTTCAGATTCTTCAGATGTTTTAGACAGTGCTTTAGAGCAGTGGTTCTCAACCTTTCTAATGCCGCGACCCTTTAATACAGTTCATGTTGTGGTGATCCCCAACTATGAAATTATTTATTTAAAATCATTTTATTGGGGCTCATACAACTCTTATCACAACCCATACATACATCAATTGTGTAAAGCACTTATACATTCGCTGCCCTCATCATTCTCAAAATTTGCTTTCCGCTTGGGTTCCTGGAATCAGCTCCCCATTTTCCTTTTTCCCTTCCCCCTCCCTCATGAACCCTTAATAATTCACAAATTATTATTTTGTCTTATTTTACACTGCCTGGCATCTCCCTTCACCCACTTCTCCATTGCCCATCCCCCAGGGAGGAGGTTATACATACATCCTTGTTATCGGTTCACCCTTTCCCTCTGTTATCGCCACTCTCACTGCTGATCCTGAGAGGTTCATCTGTCCTGGATTCCCTGTGTTTCCAGTTCCCATCTGTACCGCTGTGCATCCTCTGGTCTAACCAGGTTTGCAAGGTAGAATTGGGATCATGATAGTTGGGGGGAGGAAGCGTTTAAGAACTAGAGGAAGGTTGTGAGTTACATTATTGCTACACTGAACCCTGAGTGACTCATCTTCCCACTACCTCTAGATAAAATTATTTTTGTTCTTACTTCATAACTCTAATTTTGTCACTGTTATGAATCGTATTGTAAATATCTGACATGCAGGATGTATTTTTGTTACAAATTGAACATAATTAGCATAGTGATTCATCACAAAAACTATGTAATTATATATTATGCAATATTTATTTCTAACTACAAATAAATGTAATTTTGTTTTGAAGCATGGTGTAGCATGGGTACCCGTATGTGTGTGTATCTGCATGTGGACAGCCGTATGTGTGTGTATCTGCATGTGGACAGACCCGCCTGGAAACGGACAGATAGAGGAGTGGTGTCTTGGTTCCTAAGACCATCAGAAATAGGTTTTCTGATGGTCTTAGGCAACCCCTATGAAAGGGTCGTTCAACTCCCAAAGGGGTTGCGACCCACAGGCTGAAAACTGCTGGCTTTATAGTGTCTCGAAGATCTTCTCTGAGACTTTAAAGAAATAGGACTTTACTTTTTGTGGTTCTTTCATCATGGAAATAAACACCTTAATTTCCCAGTATGGAAGGTAGAATGAATGGTGCACTGAAAGGAAAGGGAATTCATCTGTACTCATGGAGAATAACTAATGGTGATGGAATCGCTTCATGTTGCAGGTCAAGTGCTGTACAACAGCTGCTGGAGAAAAACTACAGAATCCACTGTTCGATCCATAACGCTGTAAGTAGGAAGTGTTTCTTTAGTTTCCAGGGTTTCCTGTCTTTTAACTGTCCGTTTTTGATGTCATTACAAGATTTGCATATTCCCTAAATATTCCGCAGAATATGTGAACTATAACTTAAAAAAAAATGTACCTTAAATTCTGATAGATTATTGGTGATATATAGTCTGTGGGATAGATCTAAACTTTTATTATTCCACCCTCTAAACTGAGTTTAGCTGAGAATCAGATTAAGCTTAGTAATAACTTTTTCAAAGCTTTAGGTCTACGTAGTGTGCTTAGGGCATAAAATTATGTTCCCATCACCCGTCCTCTGAATTGTGACAATACGTTCTGAGTTCTGTTGTGTTGCTCACAGATTCACAGGTTTGCTTCCTTGGTACCCTTTCACTGCCGTCGATCGCATCGATGTTGACTCATAGTGACATTAAAGGACAGGGCAGAAGTACCCCTGTGGGTTTCCGAGACTGTGACTCTATCGGGAATAGAAAGTCCCGTCTTTCTCCCTCAGAGCACCTGGTGGTTTCAAACTGCCGACCTTGCTGATAGTAGGCCAATGTAGAACCAACCACTAGTTGGCAAAAATGGCTTGTGCTTGACTAATGGGAAAAACTGGTGGTTGGAACCCACCTAGCGGCTCTCCACAAGGTTGCAGAATACAACTAGTCGGTAAGCAGAAGGAATTCACTGGGCAGCAGTGGCTATTTGTTCTAAGGAATTGAAATAGTTCAAGTACAGGCCGACTAGCAGATCTGTTTGGGGCTTTATGCACCTCCGACTTACACGTCACCTTTAAATACACTGTGTGTACGCAAGCATGCACACATATAAATCCCATATATAGGGATTATGTGATGATCACTAGCTCACTTCACCTTTGCAGATGGTATATGTACATTTCCATTGAATTTTTAAAAATGACCGAGGTTCTGTGTGGTTAAAAAAAGCATTGCCATCCTTTTTCTTTCATGGGCAGTCACTTAAATATCTGCCTAAGTAGGAAAATATCAACTGGATTAAACAAAGTCTTCTGATGAAAAATGTGAATTAGGTAGAAAACATACATTCTCAAGGATTGGTGAAGCCATTACTTAGTTGTTAGCAAGTTGAAATTTGTGGCTGAGAAATGAGTTATTTTCAAAAGAGTAACAACTGCTTTCTAGTTTATAGCTTATTTTATGCAATGAAGCTTTAAACTATTTTGGGTCTTGAAAAAGAAAATGGGTAATATTCTAGATTAACTCATCCAAGGTCGTCTTCATACAATGGTAACTAATTAGAGATCAACTCTTAGAAATTTTCAGAGTTCCCAAATTTGTCATTAATAGATATTAAAAGTGACTATCATGGATTACTGCACTAAAAAAAAAAAGAGTCAGGGTGATTTCATTAAAGATATGTTGTTCATTTATTCTGATCTTATGTTGATAGATAATACCAGAAGATTTCAGCATAGCAGATAAAATACAGCAAGTCCTAACCAACACAGGCTTTAGTGACAAACGGGCCCGTTCCATGGACATAGATGACTTCATTAGGTAAATACATTTCTGCTTTCCTAAGTGCTTACATTTCTTTACCATGACACTTTCAGATTAAGAGATTGATAGGCTTCTAAGTGGTATAAGGTGCTACTGGGGAGTTATTGCATAGCACTTCCATGGCATGGATTAGTATTTGGTATAGAAGATGAAAGCCAGTTAGCTGCAGCAGGATGAACTTCTAAAAATACTAGTAAAGAACAGTCAAAGCCAGAAGAGAGCCTTTGTGTTAATGTGTGGTGTGTTCTTTCCTTCTTCTCCCCACCTGCAATCTTAAGTTTTGTCCCGACAATGTAGTTTTTCAAAGTAAAATGACGATGGCCACCTCCTTAGCTGTAATCGGATCAGATTCTTGTTTTCTGAGTTGGAAATAGCTATTGTTAAATAGAGAAGTCATTTAAAGCATGTAGTTTGCCAACTAGAGTCGGACAAGTACATAGGTAGCCAGAGAAAGAAGTGTGTAAAATATTTAGTCTGAACTATTAGCATAGTGAGTTCAGAGGGGAATGGAAACACAAGATCCATTTGCCTTCGGCCTCTAAATCTGAACAGCTTTCTGTTCAGTGACCATGTTGAAGTGGAAGCGTGCAACAAAGGAAATCTAACATTGAGTCAAATTCATTGTAATTTCAGGGAATGGGTAGAGGCCACCAATATAGGTGCTTCTAGTCAATATAGAAAATAAGGGCTCTTTAGTGACTAGTGTCAGGAGGGCAAGCTTCATGGATTGGTTGATGTGGTTATGATTTTGAATTCCTGGTATAGGAACTATAACCTGGCATGTGCTGCATATTAGCTTCTTACTACCTTCCCATTTGGCTTTTTTTCAGATTGCTACATGGATTCAATGCCGAAGGCATCCATTTTTCTTAGGTTTCTGAAAAGCAGAACTTTGCAAGGTCAAGGAAAAACAAACTGCATATATATATTTTTAATAGTTTAAGGTGAACTATGTTTTGTATCACTGAAACAGCATTTGCTTGACTGATTTTAAATGCTTCCACCATTTATTACTCTGGGTTTTTTAATGCAAATTAACAAATGCATGATGCAGCAGTTACACAAGCCCTATGGAAGATGAGTGGTGCACACCTACCGTTACACGGAGAATGCTGTGGCAGTAAGTGCGCCCCCTACAGCTTTATAGCCTTAGAAACCCTATGGGGCAATTCCACTCTGATTTAGTGTCACAATTGACCTTGACACTGCTAGGTCCTGTCTTGATACTGGAAGTTAATTCCAAGTACCCGGTGTTGCAGACACGCACAACTTTACAAACTGCTCATTTCTAACAGTTTATTGTATAAAGATGTTACTCTTCTATTTACTGCCCATTATATGTATTGCTGTGAGAACTGCCCTCAAGCTTAACTTGTCACATTTTCCTCATACCACTTTTTGTCATTCACATGGACAATAAAACCATGGTTCTTTAAAATGTCTTCTTTGCACCTCTTTATTCTTTGTGTTGACCCTATACAGTTTCTTTTAGCACTTTCCATGGCTCACTCCTTTAGCTATTGTGTTGAACCTGACCGCAGGGTATGAGCCTGAGCTGCTCCTGCCACCATGTGGTGGCTGGGCATAACTCCTCTTACCCAGAAAATAAAGCTCTATCAACATGAAGGTAACTATAAAGTTGTTGTGTTTTTTCTTAAGGAGATTTTTTATAAGCTTAACCAAATTTCTAACAGTTTATAAAGTAGTCTGCTCTTTGACTTCAAAACAAAACAGCCACGTTACCACAACTACAGTCCATATGGAGTCCCTGTGGCAAAGCGCGGTATATATTGGACTATCAACCACAAGGTTAGCAGACTGAACCCACTGCTGCTCTGCAGGAGTGATGAGGCTGTCTGCTTCCAGAAAGACTTAGTGATCCTATACAGGCATTCTGTGAGTCAGGAGTCAACATTACAGTAGTGAGAGTGGGTAACTGTCCCCATTTATCTGCTAAGTTTAGGACTGAGATTTCATTATATGTCATTAATGAGTCTTTTTGAGCTGTTTAAGTCATCAGTATAATACTAAGTGCCATTAATGCCTTTTAATAAAATAATTATAGTATCTGATTATATAATAAATTTTCTTTGTACCTAGCTTACAGGAAGAAAATTTCCAAATTAATTTAGCAAAAGTTTACGGAGTAAACCCAAAAGGCAAGATAGATAGCTTGTTTGCTTAACAGATTTTGGGGGAGACATGGACTTAACGCCATGAAATAACCATTCGTATGTAAGTAAGTTAAAGTGATTCATGTTCTTACTTATAGAGAAATAGTACCTTTCAAGTTCTAGGAAGTACTAATGAATATATAACAAAAAAATTAAAATTAACAGCTATAATAAGCCATTTGTTATGTGAAAATTACTTTAACAGCTGTAATAAGCCATTTGTTATGTGAATTAAGTATACTGTGGAATTTAAAAGTTCATTTGTACCACATCTCTGTGTAATTCCAATCATAGCAAGATTTTAATTTAATATTCAATTCAGCTTGCTTAGGGAATTCTCCCTTTCTTATCTGTAAATTGGAAGGTACGGGTTATATTAAACCTTCAAGATCATCTGGTACTAATTTTTAAGATCACTTTGAGTACTACACCAGACTGGAGCCAGTCATTAATAACAGCAAGCACGGTTGTTTATCGAGAAGACCTTCCAAAGATAGTACCAACCTGACACAAATAATAAAGCTAACCTGTTGTGCTTTTAAAATGAGCAAGTTCTCTTTACTGTTCTTTTGAGGTTGGCTAGTTCCCCCAAATAGCTTTTTTACCAACCTCTGCAAGGACTATAGTAACCATTCTCCGTTTGTTCTTGTTGAAATAAATATAAATGGAACATATGTTACAGCTACAAGAAAACCTGAGTCCCTTCCAAAACAAATGTGATTGTATCGAAGTAAGTTATTTGTCATTCTGTAGATTTATTAATAAGCACATTGTGAAACATCTACATTTGTTTTAGATTCCATGTTTACAGAGAAGGAGCTTTTCGCCATGGTGTTAGGATTTCCCACAACTACCTCAGTGAAGTAGAGAATCTGGCTCATGTGACTCTCTATTCATAGTTTCCCTTTGGGCTCATAAGAATCAGCTAATAGTTCCCTAAAGTAAATCAAAACAAGAAATCCTTATGCGTTTACTTGTTTGTTATCTACTCCTGGACTCTATCCTGGGAACTGATGGAAAACTCCTAGAGAGAAATAGAAATCTTTTAACAAAATATTTACAGGAGAAGCGGCCAGTTTTTCTTCCCTGGAGTACCGATCTGTAAAAACAAGTGCTGCCATTTAAAAAGCAACATATACCCTACACCAATCTATTGGTGAGGATTTGGTGCTTCTCACCAAATAGGGTGAAGCACCATGATACAGTAGGTACTGGATGGAGCTTGGGTTGGTACATCTGCCTCTTTAAGGCGAAGTCAACTGTTTAATTTTTAAGGTTGTTAGGTATTGTCTACACTTGACTTAAACTAACAGTTCTATTGTGGACTATTTTCAATGTACATGTTCATGCAGCAAAGCCAATTTCCTTTAACAATACGTTAAAAGGGTCTATTTTTTAGGTGCTAATGGACACTTCAACTGAAGTCATAGTATTGGTAAGGATCAGATTGCACTATTAGTCTTTTAATAATACCACACCGGAACACACACTGCATATATATGCATTACCCTAGGATAAAACTCCTCTTAGAATTTCATTACTTTTTATTATACATCAACTAGTTATATTTTTAGTTCTTTACAAAGAAAAAGCTAAGAAAATTATAATCATGTTTTATGGTTTTAAAATTTGTAATTCCAGATTTCTTACATGTAAGATGGAATGGTCCAGCAGCTATGTCCACTGTCACAGACTTTAGTTCCGTTCAATGATATGGCACATCCTGCAAAATTAACTAGTCACACACACAAAAAGTCTCAAATACAGTAAAAATGTACACACAATAAAGGTAATTTACAATGACAAATAAGGAATGTAACTTATCTTGCATGTGCTTCCGAGATTTAGGGGTCGAGAGCCTTAGTCAAGGCACAAAGCAGGAGGAGCACAGTCATCATAAGTGGGCAAGGTAGGTACAATCACTGGTGGAGGTACGCATGCACGCAGAAGACTTAAAACCACCCAGTCTTGCTACAAAAATGGAACAGAGTTAAAAGGAAATGCTGTGACTTCCCCGTACTACCTATGGATCAAGTCCACAATCTTAATTCATCATAAAGAAAACAAAGTTGGCAGGATCTTCAAAGTAAATCACTATTTGCGTAAATGAAAGAAAATGCTTCACTAATCCCCATTCTGGTTGTGCCTCCTGGATTAGAAGCATTGTGTAGACAAAAAAGTGCTTCGCGAAACTGAAATGTCATTCAGGTGAAGGACAAACCATTTTCCGTACACAATTAAAATCTCAAACTTTCAAATGGCCCCTACAGCTGAACCAATGCAGGTTAAAAGTAGTGAAGGTCGGGATCCTTGAGCAGCAACGCCCATTTAAAGAGCACGGGGTCTCTTCGGATTGATTTGCTTGCTGGCCTGTTCTTCTTCTTGTAGGGCTGCGCGGAAAGATTTGACTTTATCTTGGGGGGAGAAAAAAAAAGAACAAGGGAATAAGCACTGCATTACAAGCAACAGTATGCAACTTTAGGGTTTTATCAAGGCAAGTCTTATTTCAAAATAACAACAGTATGTTTCCACCTGGTCTTTGTTGTTTGGTAATACAAATGCACCAGTTGTATTACAGATACCTAGGAATACGGATTTAAATTTTTCAACACACTGCACATGGCTCAATCTTAACGTATGTCAATTCCTTTTGTAATGTATGCAGGCTGTATACATCTGCAAAGCAAGCACACATCTGTTCACAAGGAATGGCCAATCTTACTAAATTGTAAAACAGACATTTCTTTCAATATTAATATATTCCCACTCCTAATTCTGGTTTTATCTTTATAACTGAAAATTTAAAAGATACTTAAATTTTAAAAAGAAATGGCTATTTTTATCATTAGGATTTTTGAAGAGAATAAGAAGAATTTTGACCAATCAAATTTTTAAACACTTATTTTCATATTCTTGATGTATTGCACTGGGCTGCTAACTATAAGGTCAACAATTCAAATCTAACAGCTGCTCCAAGGGAGAAAGATTGGGCTTTCTTTTCTGGGGGTAGGGGACCTCCTCCTATTGGTATACTGAGTCACCAGTTGGACTGACAGCCACAAGGGCAGCAGTTCCAATGTATTAGGAATCGCATAGGGAGACAGATGAGGCTTTCTGGTTCTACAAAGATTTACAGCCTTGGAAACCCACAGGGGCAGTTCTACTCTGTCCTATATGGTCAGTATAAGTTGGCTAGACTTGATGTCAGGGAGTTTTTGTTTTAATCCTGTCTATCGTCTATCAATATCATATAAGGCTGAATTCTCTGAAAATCCCACTGCCATCGAGTCAATTCTGACTCACTGTGACCCTTAGCATAGAGAAGAACTACTGTATTTTGGAGTTTCCCTAAGGAACCCTGGTGATGCTGTTGGATAAACTTGAATTGTCAACCACAAGGACTGGTTCAAATCTGGCAGTTGGTCCTTAGGTGAAAGATGAGGCTCGCCTCATCTACAGGCTACTCCTGTACAGGTATACAGCTTTGGAAACCCTATATAGGGCTGCCACTATGTTGGAAACTACTTGATGGTAGTGGGTAAGGACTATCCTCTACTGATTCAGAGACCTATAATAATTTAAGAGATAGGCAAATAACAGCAGTGAAAATAAGAAATGTGTCTATAATTAGCTGAGGGTGATGGTCTGGAAACATTTTTGGTTGTCATAATTGGTGCTACAGGTACCTTGTGAGTAGTGACTGAAGATTTTATGAAGCAAAAACAATGCCTAAGTCAGCCACCACCACCCAAAGAATTCTTTCAAATGTCAATAAGCTGATGTTAGGAAACTCTGGCTTATACCTCAGAAGAAAATGAAAATACAGTTCCCTTCTTCAGAAGCAAAGTTCACTTTTATGAAATCAAGAAAGGAATTTGAGAATTCTGAGTGTTGCAGCCTGCTCTCAAAATTCATTTAACAATAGTATGACTATGTTTGGAAAATTAATACCTGAAAGGATTGAATATGCTTGGTACACATGGTACCAGAGGAAGTAAAGAAAGTCAACAACGACAACAATAATAAATCAGAATATGAGCTGAATAAAATATATACAGACAAATAGATTAAAATAACTTTCATTTAAGACAATATAAAAAAAATAAATGAAATTTTACAAATCCAGTTGTTGCTGTCAGTTATCAAGTTAGTTCTGATTTAGGGTGAATCAAGTGTGTAACATAGAAATAGCTTGGTAGGCCACACAGACCTTTCAGAAGCAGACTGCCAAGCTTGACTTCAGAGGTATCTGGCTTTGAAACTCCAACCTTTCAGTTAGTAGTCCAGTGTGCTTAACCATTTGTGCCACACATGCATAAACGATTTTCAATGGGGTCAATGCTAACTAAATGGTCTGACTTCAAACGAACAGCTTCACAGGGGGCCTGTTTTTAGAATTCAGCAATGTATTTACTACTGAAAATCTGCGATCTGGTTTGTATTAAGCAAACACTCATGCATTCATGCACATAAGCTCCAAAAAACTGCCATTGAGTGGATTCAACTCACAACTACTTCCTTAAATTAAATCTGAACTAGTCCATACTTATTGGAAGCTACACAGATCAGCTAGGTAAAATGCCAAAAATAAACAGCAAGTGACTGAGCATGACAGAGGGAAGGACCTCCTTCAGAGCCTATCTGAACTACTACCTTTCATGAGCAAGTTCAAAGGAGTAGTGTAGTGAAATCTTTGATTTTTTTGGGGAAAAAAAAATTAGTGTTTGAAGGAACAAAAGATGCACAGAATGAAGTGCACGTCCATTTTCCTTAACGTTTTGAAGCACGTTCATATGGAAAATGACCTTTAGAAGTCCAAATCCAAAGGAAATTAAGCCTCAGCTTACTGAAAATCAGTTTATACATAATTTACTAAAACACACGTTTCTTTTAAAATAATATGACCTCTCCAACTTGAAAAAGAAAACCAAGATGACTAGAATAAAGTGGAAATGACATGATGTTTTTAGAATATCTTTGTGTTCATAATTCGGGGGGGACGGACCACTAAATAGTATCTATAATTTTCACTTCAGAAGGCCCTCCTGTAATACAAAATTCTCCCATTAATATACATACAAATACCAAGTAGATTTCGAACATTAAAAATTACCCCGTAGCTCAGTTAAAATGTCAATTTTTTGCTCGAGAATAGCTTCCAGTTGTGTTGCGTAGGAATCGACATCATAGTCCACTTCCTCCGTCATCTCGAGGAGAGCCTTTTCGTCTTCTAGCCACCGAATAGATTCCTAGAAGACCCAAACGAACAGAACCCAGTTTCTCTTTCAGCCAGAAAAGAACCAGTTTACAATTTTCAGTAAACATAACCAAACATGCCTAATAAAACATTAATGAATGTTAAGTATTTTTATTCATAGAGAGCAAAATTAAAAAATATTTCCTTAAATTCAAACACAAGCACATATAATGGGCCAACCAAAATAACTTAATTTCCCTACTTTAAAACTACCTTGGGTAGAGCGTTTGGGGAGGGACTGCGTCACACAAGCACCAAGGAGTAGAAAGTCTCAAAACCTCACCGGCAACCGTGAAATGGACAGACTGGGAGTAATAAAGTTACTTAGCAGTACGATGGGTTCTGGAACCTAGAACTTACACTTCTATTTGGATTTAAATTATCAGTTGGTGACTAACTTCTAAACGCCAACTTCCTCAAAATGATTGTGACTCTAAGGGATCAGCTGATAGCCGATTTTAAGACACAGTGTCTGAATCCATGGAACAGTACCTACTTAATATTCAGAAATGCCTTAAATTCGAGTTCTATTTTCTAGCAATGCCAAATTATATATAGTTGACAAAGTGAGATTATTGTGAATTCAACTTTTTTGGTGTATGAAAACAAGCATGCTCTAAGCTTTTTAAGAGATTTACAATCTCAACTTTCCAAATATCAGCACGTTTTAATGGTTACTTAAAATCAGACCATGCAGCACCAGGCAGAAATGGTTAACCCAAGTATAGGTATTAAAAAATGCATCTCCTTACTTAGCGATTAGCTGCCATTTCACATTCATAGTAGTACAAATATCTATTATCTGACAATCTTGTGCATTAACAGACATGTCTGGCGTTACAATGAGGAGCGAGGTTAAAGAGTAACACTAGTTGTAATGGTTAGGGTTATGTAACAACTTGGCTGGGTCATGATTCTCAGAGGTTTAGCAATTGTGTTATAATTTGGCAGTTACGATGTAGTCATCCTTGACTTTATGATCCGATGAGATGCGGTCATGCTCCATTTTTACATGAACACTTTCCCCATAACCTGTTCTTTGGAGCTTCATCAGGTAAGTCAGGAGTGTTTGCATACAGGTGGATGTTCTTGAATGTCTGTGATACCATATATACTCGATTATAAGCCGAGTTTTTCCAGCATTGGGTCGGCTTATACTCAAGTATATATGGTATATTCTTTGAAGCAGGTGTTACGTGTTTTAGCCATTGTGCAAAACCATTAAATATACCTATCTAACTTGTTGTTGGGTTCCATCAAGTTGATTGTTCCATCATACAACAGCATGATACACTGCCCCCTGTACCCTCCTATTGTTACTATGCTTGAGCCCAAGTAGCCATTATGTCAATCTATCACTCTGAGGGCCTACATAATTACATATACCTATATATGGAGCTCTAGTTACATTGTGGGTTAGGCATGCTGCTAACCTTTCAGTGTTAGTTCAAATCCACCAGCTGCTTTGAGGGAGAAAGATGAACATCTGCTCCCATAAAGATTTACAGTCTCAGAAACTATATAGGGTCATTATGGGTAGGAGTCAACTCGATGGCAGTGGGTTTGGGTTTAATGGGTACATAATATGGTGTTTGCACAATAGCCCACCATGTAATACAGTGATCACATGGCTTGTATGTAGCTTTGGGGTCCTGGCCTGGTGGCTGCTGCTCTCCTTGACTATATTCTCTGTGATCACAGCCTGTGACCTGGGCTTAAATGGCCACACGGTACGTTTGATCCTGACAGACAACAATTTTCTTAATTATCAGGGTCCTCTGAACGTAAACTCATAAACTCAACACCTAGGCCTCTAAAAAGATTCCTGTAACGAGGGCTTGACTGAAATGCTGATCGTTTTAATGAATGTACATCCTATTATGAAAGTGTTCCCACGTACTTAAGCTGTTCACCCAGTTGCATGAATGATCTAGAGTTGAGGCACTTAACATCTGCTTACAGGTTAATGTAGATTTCATTAATATCAAATAAGGAATACAGTTCAAGACGGGAAGTTGGAGTTATTTATTTTCCTTTCTTCAGGAAATACCTACAGTACCACAGGATGCCACAAGGCTGTGGGGGGAGTCTCCATAAAGATAATTTCCTCATTAAAAAAGAGGAATATAGAAGGATCAAAAAAGTGCTTTCAATAGGTGAAACACATGGGATGAGCAGAAAAGGAGGTTCTGCTACGTGCAGGGACATATCATCCTGACAGCGTAGTCACAGCAGTCTATCTCCTGAAGCAGAGGAGTCTTTCTTACTGCTGTCACACAGGCTTACTATCAAGAAGGGAGTAATGAAGTTCAGTGGGGTACTTTACAAATGAACTGACAAAAGCAAAGGGGGAGAAGAAGCATAAATACAGCTGATCCTTTCACCGTGGTGTAAAGAAAAGTTTTTGTAGTCATTATGCTAAAATGACAAATTAATTCAAATTTGTCATACTCTATGTTCTACACACAAATACAAACGTGTGGAATCCCCTTTGAATAAATAATTTGGCAATTGGTCCTCACCACACCTGATAAGGTGTCCACTGACTGGACACCATGAGAGTCGAGAAGTCCATGACCGGCTAAGCCTCAAAAGGCATGATGTCATCTATCAAAGCTACATGTTGAAGTCAACAAACCCCTAGCAGTAGGAATCTCAATGGAGTTTCCTGGAAGGTGAGAACAAACACCTGAAATTGGGAGGGTATGCATATCCCCTATGGGACATGAAGCTCTACACACTCCCAAACTTTGCCCCATGTGTTTATTATATCCTTTGTTCTGATCATTTGAAGGTAACTCCTTTCCCTGGTATACGAATTATTCCAAAGTAATTCTGAACCTAAGAAACAAGAGGAGGAACACTGCTCTAGGTAAATAGGGATGCGAGAGACAGTGCTGTGTGGAATAGCTGGGGTGTGGAGTGAACAGGAAAAAGAGCTGAAATGTCTACAGGATACAGATGGCATGTGGAATGGGATTAACCATCCGCCACACATTTGGCAAGGTGATCTCAGCCTCCTAAAATTGAACTCATAGAACTGGCCCAGTGAATAGGGTTAACTAGTGAGAATCCTGACAATGCAACACACGTCAATAAGTATTTTTCAGAACAGCAGGTAGTCAAAGAAATCTGAAGCTCTTAGATGAATTTTTTTCAAGAAGAATTTTGATGACAGATCCTGTCTTACTATACCTGGAACACTGCCCTGTGGTCTTCTACCACTTGTTCTTCCATTTCTACCATTTGTGAGACAGCTTCATGAAAAGTAAACAATTGTGGAGAAACCTCTTCTTCCTTGAAACAGTTCAAAAAAGATATGATAAATAAAAAAGAAAAGACACACACATACTCTGTATATTGTATCTCTCCATTGTATAATAACAGAAAACTAAAATAAAAAATCACAGCAACACACCCTTTTTAATAAACTAGGAAGGGTGGTCTTTCTGTGTGTGAGACATAAAGGTTATGTCTATTTTAAAATGTGTACTGTATATCTTTTTTTTTTGGTACTGCATATCTTGTGTATCATTCTTTCCTCTTTAAGTATCCTATTGTGAGAATCTTCCCACCACTGGCTCCTCAGGAGAAAGATGAAATTGTTGGCTCCTGTGAAGATTTATAGTCTTGGAAACCCAAAGAGGTTGTGCTACTTTGCCACATCGTAAATTTAAGTGCCTCGGCTGATAGTCAGTTCGGCTTATACACGAGTCTATAGGTAAGTGGGTTTGGTGTTTGCTGTGCTCGAGTTTTAATCTTTCTTTAAAAAACGATTGACCTAGTTTATGCATCTTTCAAATGCATGTTTATAGTTTTTTTAATTTAAAAAAAATATGTAACATACTCTCTGTATAATTCTTTAACTTGTCCCCACCTTCCCACTTTAATTTAAAAAATTACCAAATTTAAGTACTGAGAAAAAAAATGTCTGCCTGGTGCCAGAGACAGCAAACTTGCTTATACGGTCCAGACAGTAACCATTTGGGGCTCGTGGGCCATATGGTATGTACCTGCTTTAAAAGTGATAAAGCAGCCAGACAATACCTAAATGAGCTAGGTTTATGCTCCATCCAATAAAGCTTGCTTTTATAAAACCACAGGAAACTGGCTCATGGGGCAATACTTGCTGATCTCACATTTAATGGTATGTTTTCAACTAACAAAGATTAACAAGATAATTACAACTGTATTAAGTCACCCACATTTTGTTCACAAAGAAGTTTCAGATCATCTCTTTGAGGGGAGCTGCCCACACCCCACTGGGTCTCCAGGTCATCAATCTGATTTGGTGCATGGTGCATTATTGGACGAACATCACCAGCAGCAGTTGGATCCACAGTCAATTCTTTCACCCTATAAATACGTAAAAGGCATTTAGAATAAATAGAGCCCCGTAGAGAAAAAAGAAATATCAGCCTATTCAAAACGAAGTCAATTCTATTAATTTAATTAAGACTGATGATGTCAGCTTTACAGGTCAAGTTTACTTGTGGGTAAACTGAGGGGATGTTTGGGTATTTAAGTTTTACAATTTATTTAGGTAGCTTTAAAATTATTTTAAATTACTGTAATTACAAAAGAGAATTAACAAAGCATGCAGATTCAGCATTTTAAGGAAATTAATTGTTGCAATTATATGAACAGAAAAAAATTAATGATATAAATTATATCAATAAATGGATCATTGCTGAAACCAGAGTATTTGATACAGTGCAGAATTTTTGGTAGTCATAATGTTCCATTAAAATAGCTACACGTAAAATAATTATATTTCTAATATTATGCTGAGGTGTAGCATTTTAAAAATGTTTACCTATTATATTTCAATGTATGCATTTTGGAAAGGGCATGCTTTCTAGGTCAAGAGGAAACCTATAATATCCTGTTAGGAAAGGAAATTACAGGATAATGAAGAATAAAAATAAACTTCATTGTGAAAAAACCCACTTTACTTTTTAGTGATAAATATGCAAAAGTGACATCATCCTTAAAAACATGAAAATAGGAACCCTGAATCTGAAATCAATAGTGTAAAGCAAATAAAGTACACACAAATGTAGCTCATGCAGCACAACCACCACCTGCCAAATGAAATGAAAATGAAAATAAAATGGCCCCAAACGAAAGAAAATGAAATGTTTCATACATAGCACAACTCAAAAGAAATTATTCGAATAAACATCTTATATAGAGAATGAAGTAGACCTGGTAATTGAAGGAGAAAAGTCGTCATACTCATAAGAAGGAGAGAGATCAGGGCGACTGCCACTACCCTGTGAGAAGGGAATGTCTGATGGACTAATTCCAAACTCCTTTACTCTGCAGCACCAAGACAGGCAACAGGTTAAACAGAAATGCTCTTGTTGAAACAGCGACGTACATACATTTCAAGCTTTCATTTAATATTTACTTTAACTTGTTCAGAAAAGGAAATGAATACTGTTGTGATGTGATATATTTAGATTACTGATCCTCAGGCTCCATCAGACTTTATCTTTCCTTTCTGAGGTATTTCCCCCTTCCTCATAATTCTTCAGAAAGTTTAACCAGGCCATTATGTAAATCTGAAATGCTCTCTAGTTCATTTGCTAAATAACTACATGACTATTCAATCTCCTTTCTTCCAGTAGCCAATGATGTGAAGATTCCATTTGCATTACAATCCTTTCAAGCCGCCCAGTCTTTCAAGATCCCAAAGCATTAATCTCAATGTCTTAGTCACCCTTTGTAATGAATTAGCTTCATGGCAATAGCTAAGAAGCATCCAACTAGAATGCACAAAAATGGTCAGTTAAGTAAACAATTTTGTTTTTGGTGGTTCAGAAGCAGCAGCTTAGTTAAGAAAAGATTGCCTGAAACTTTAGCAGTCAAATTGGAATTGCTTCGGCAATTGTCGCTAATATTTGTTTCCTGTGCCCTATTTTGGCCAACCATTTCATAATAGTAGGCAACATTTATCAAGTATTCCCTATAGGTCAGGATTTATGATTAGCAAATTTTAGGAATTATATTATTTAACCCTCACAACTTTGAATATACTAACCATACTGTTTTCCTCATCACTTCCCGCGTGTTCAACTAAGAAATTCCCATTTTACAAATACCAGTATTTTCATAGAGTTCAAATGAATATGTTTCTTCCATGTACAAGCTTTGGACCCTACTGTTAATATTTACTGTCGAAAGCTCAAACCTATATTTTGTCTGCCATTCATCTTGTATAATCACATTGCAAAGCTCCTTCACAAAACATGCTAACAAATCTGTCCTCTAATATATCTCTCACTTTTGTCATCCGATTGCAAAAGGGCTTGTCATCTATCAGAAACAATATGTATTATTACAAACTATCCTATCCCCCAGCTCCCACAAAACATTAAGTATTTAACTCTAAATTCTGAAGGAATATTGTTTCCATATTCAACATAATGAAACAGAAAGGAAAAAGAATTGCTCACTAAAGTAGTATTCAGAATAATTATTAATACACTTCTATATTCCAGGTATTATGCTAAATCTAAACATTTTACAGATATCATCTTTTATCCTCAAAACAATCTTTTAAAATAGACATGGTCATTACTCTTCAGAGTTTAAAGTTAAGGAAACAGACACATAGAGGTTAGGAACTCGTCATCAGGCCTTGTTGCCAGTAAGGGGTGAAATAAGTATTCAAATGTATTTTGACTTGATAATTAAAACTCTTCAACCATGATGCTGTTAAAAATAATCAATTTTTATAATCAATTTCATAAAAGATGTGTAAATTTTAATAAAAATACTGTACAAATAAAATATTTATCCATTTTGATAAGATAATCAGTAGAGCTTTAAAAAAAGTGATATATTTTGATATGTTATTCAGGATTTTCACTAAGCAGAAGAAAAATCTGACCAGTTTTCTATATCTGCTAGGATCTAAGTTAAGCGGATTCTGCTAGATTGTTAAAAACCATTCTTTGTCATTGTCATTTCAGGCCTAAAGCACAGGCACGAGCTATCAAGAAAACGAAACAAATAAGAAAACAAAACCTAAAAAAAAGAAAAGTTGAAAGTACTCCTAGAGATTTGGGAGTGGTGGAGGTGGAGATTGAGAAATAATGATTGTTCCGGATGGTAAGTCAAGCAGTAAATGAATTTACATTCTATAATTATGAATTAGAATCTTTTACTTGGGCTTAAATGAGCTTGAGTAATGGCTAGATAGCATTTTCATGACATCCAAAGAATTTCCAATATGCAGGGTTTTTATTTTCCTTTAAGCCCTGTTTTATTTTTCCTCTTCACCAAACTGTATCACATTCTCAGGACTTCCTTTTCTTAATGAAATGTAAAGTCACCTTCACCCAGGGGAAATCCCAGAAGGAGTTGTGCTATCCTAAAGTGCACAACATGGCACTTCCTCTTCCCCAACAGTTTTGTTAGTTATGAGTATATATAAGTATTTAAATATTTAAAATTAATGATAAAGTCCAAGATACACCCCCCAAACCATGGTTTTCATATATATAATTTTTCTTATTATCTTTTAAAATGTTTACTACTTATGAATGCATCCCTGAGCAATATCATGTACTATGTTTCTGAACTTCAGATTAAGTGGAATCATACTTTCTTTTTTGATATAAGGATACCTTGCAGCTCAGTGGTTGGTGCTTGGCTGCCAGCCAAAAGTTAAACTTGTGACCCTGCCAGTGGGAGAAAGGTGTGGCAATCTGCTTTTAAAATATTTACAGCCCTAGAAACCTTATAAAGCAGTTTTACCTTGTTATATATACATGGTTACTATAAGAGAGCAGATTCAGTAAAATCAAGACAACCTCCCCACTCGAAATGGATTGCAGAGAATTTTATCTCTACCATACACATCTGTTCATTTGTGTTACTTGAGTACACAAATGTATTCAATAGAGAATTCACATGTTCCAACTGTAATTATATTATGAAATATAGTTATATTATGAAATATAACTTTAAAAAAAATCCCTCCTAGGCTAAAAAGGCCATATAAAGATATTAACCTCCTTTCAAATTAAACAATTTCCAAACATTTTCAAAACATGACAAAATGATTCTAGATATCATCTTAAATAATAACACAGTGTGTTTTGGAACTGAAAAGGACGATAAAGTGTGATTTGCCGTATCACACATGAAAGCAGTCTGTACTCTGTAGGACTATTTTTGCATCAAATTACAAAATTTAGAGGACCCTCTCTCATACCTATTTGCGTATCTTAATGTGTTAAGAGTATTTTCACAGGATGCCATCCCTGGGGAGATTGTAGCAATCTGTAAGAGAAAATGTAAAGGTAGAGAAAGTCAGATAAATGATCAAAACGGCACTGATACACAGTTGGTTCGGTCTAATCCCACAACACTGATAACTAAAAATAAAGCTGGAGGACATCTGAATGCCAAGATGATTTGACATCTCAGTCATCATTAGGTAATTAACTGTAAACTTTGGTTAAATATAAACAACTCTCTGAAGGCACTAGAAAACGATCCGTTCTTGAAGAAAATGGAGGAAGCCAAGACCTAGAAGGGAAGAGCACTGATCGGCAGACCACTTCCCTCTTCCTTATTTTTTGGGCAACTTGTTGCCTAAGAGTGAACTTGACAACAAAAACTTGATTAGTAACTTGTAGTCATACTGGTTAAGAAATCAAAGACGAGAGCTGGGAGTGAGGAACCAACTAAAGCAGCTGAAGGTGAAAGGAAAAGTTCAGAAGGGGGAGAAAAACAAAAGGGTAAACTCAATTCTACATATCAACTATTAACTGCCTGACCCAAACTAGGCATGCACAAAACAGACACCAAGCAACATAGCTAAGTCTAAAAGAACTAAACAGAGATTTCAATTTCATTTGCTGCCTACCGCAGGTGAAATAGAGTTTGGAGTAAGTTAGCTAAAATAGCTGCCTGCTAAAACAAAACAAAACAAAATACATCAATAATCTTCATAAGAATATAACAGAATCCAAAGTCTCTAAAAGTATTCATTCATAATGCCCAAAATTACTAGACACGTACAAAAACAGGAAATTATGACCTATACTTAAAGGAAAAAGTAATCAGATTTTCAGGGATCTATCTCTTATAACAGAAAATTCAAATGATTGTCAATATATCATATTTCCCCCTGGATACTGTATATGATCATTCATTTAGGGCAAAACCAACCAAAACCAAAAACAACTTACCATGCAGGTACGGGAGTTTTCACCTATGAACGAATCTCGTAACACCTGAGTGAGTTTACTTGCTCGGAAAGGAGTGTGAGGTTTGTTTCTACCTA